CTGCTCTGTCTACTTCAACAACCAGCAATCCTTCCCATGCAGACAGTCCTGTTAACTGATGTGATACAAAGTAAAGTCCCCCTGATACAACAGATACACACACCCAGAGATAATATGCTTAACCATTATAAAAGGATCATCTCAAATCAAGCCACTGTCTAACTGAATACCCATTCAATTTCCTTAGTATATGTCAGATGAAGGGCTCAAAACGTGCGCAGATGAACTAGAAAAAGGCTCCAATTTTATCAAACCATTTTAGTTACAGGGAACAAAATCCTGATGGGTGAGAGCTGAAATGAGAAATTGCACTTTGAAAGGTATGCTGTAATTACTGGCAGTTGTATTTTCTTGGTTTGTAGCCTTTTCTTTTTTTGCTGTAGGCAAAAGCACATGTGAGACTTTTTGTATTTGACTGGCTTAATAAATCTATTCTAAATGTCTTCTAGCATCTTACCCTACTTATTCATGTTGATACTTTCCCCGGTTTTTTATTGCATGTTAGAAATGTCGTTGCCACAAGTGTGCTACATGTTCACCTTTCTATAACACGACACCCACATAATATCAGCTTCTTGTTGAGAAAATACTTCACAAATCGGTGTGATTTCCATGATTTATTCAAAGTAATTAAAGTGTATGATGTAATGGCAACAGGTCCTGGGATGAGAAATTGACATAATGCTGTGGGGTAGCAGGGCAGCTCGAATGCACTGAAGAGCCGGCCAGAACCCCAGACTCCGAAGAGGCCCCACAGATTTACTGTTTTCAAGCCTCCTCTTCATTAAACATGCCATTTTCATAGATCAGAATCTGTTGACATTACTATCTTTTACATTCAACATAAGCTCTACTTATTCTGGTACTTCATAAATTGGACAATACTGTATGAGGCGACCTAATTTAACCTCTGCTGTGTGTATAGTTGCAGGAGCAGATATTTGCGGATGTCAGCTCGGACCTGAGGAATGGAGATACTTGGGTGCCACCTCATCACTGGCTTCCCGTCTGGGCCCACCAGAAACTTTTCAAAGTTCCACTTGATGTCGGTGAGCTTCATGGGTCCCCAGAACAACCTGCTGAGGTCGCCCAACAGCTCTCCTACAGGAGGGCATGATTTCTGCGTGGCACAAAGGACAAGATGTCACACAATGCAGAAAGAACTATTCAGATCTCTGACTTAAAGTGGACCTATCATGCTATATTTGAATAATATATTGTAGGGCCATACCTATATAAGGTATATTTATACGTTTTTTTTTTCAAAATACCAAACGGATCATGCATTTTAGCCATGCCTTATTTCGCTCTATTTGCTCTCCTCCAGCCCTGTCTTTGCATGCGCTGCAGCTGACCACGCCCCCCTGCAAAGGAGGGGGGCAAGGCACGAGCGTCATGTTACCATGCTGTTACGGCAACCTCTCATTCCCCTGATAGGTGGAGAGTTGGCCATATAGGCGGAGCTCCTCGTTCCTGACGTCAGAGAATTTTCAAATCTGTATCAGTCTGTATCAGATCCGTTGCAGCCCCGTTTTTAGAGATTTGGGTATGGAGGAAAAGAGAGAGAGTTGTGTTTTCTGACAGTTGTGAGTTCCCTGGAACACCGGGGACACATATTCATGTATAAAAGACCTACAAAAGTGCATTTTGCATGATAGGTCCCCTTTAATACAATATTGCAGATAACACTGTTACAAGTCCTGCATTAAAACTGTACATAAAGTACAAGAGTATTAGCATTCAAATATACTTAAAGCAGAGAGACCCATTTCAGAATCTTATACTTCATATTACTGGATTATAATTATGTCTGCATCAATGCATTCATCACCCTACTGTTGCAGCTAAAAAATAGAGCTCTCCTTAATGCCTTTATTTACTGCTGGTATAGTTTAATCCACAATGATATATTATTATTTGATTTGTATTCTGTATTTATAATTTAGACATTTGCAAAGTAAAGAGTAACTAAAGCTGTCATATAAATAAAGTAGGGCTGTCAAGTTAACGCGTTAACGCAAAACAAAATTAACGCCACTAATTATTTTAACGCGATTAACGCATGTGTATTTTTTGTCCTCGGCCGCCCCGTAGTTTCAGAGCGCATCGAGTTTAAAATACCATCTACAAGCTGACAGCCCCGCTCCTGCCGCCCGCTTGTGGCAGACCACACTTCCACGCTCACCGGCAGGCCCGGACTGGCCATCGGGAGGACCGGGAGGGTGTATGTGTGGTGCGAGCGAGGCACACCTTACGTGTTGTTGTTGTTGTTGTTAGCATCTGGTGCTAGCTAGCTGCGCTAACGGATATAAGAAGCTGTTTCAATGAAAACAGAGGAGCGACATTTCGCCGAGCACTTGACTTTATGCAGGTAGCCAGACAGTGGGACATTGTACGAAAAGTCAGCACACTCAGCACGGCTAGTGCAATAGTGCGCGCAACATGATTGCAGCGTCCAGGCAGCTCCCGTTCGAGCATATATGCCTTGAGCTGCACATAGCTCCAACGATCCATCACAGTGTCTTCACAGTGTGTGTGTCTCTCTCTCTCTCTCTCCACACACACACACACACACACACACACACACACACACACACACACACACACACACACACACACACACACACACACACACACACACACACACACACACACACACACACACACACATCACACACACACACACACCACACACACACACACACACACACACACACACACACACACACACACACACACACACACACACACACACACACACACACACACACACACACACACACACACACACACACACACACACACACACACACACACACACACACACACACACACACACACACACACACACACCACACACACACACACACACACACACACACACACACAATTGTATGAGAGGTTCCAGGTTGAATTGAGGCGAATATTTGTAATGTTCAGAGGTTGTTGTGTTTATTATTCATGAGAATATTTGTCATTGTTCAAATGATAATAAACAAACATATAAAGCATATTTGTCCACTCATATGTTGATAAGAGTATTCAAAACTTGAAAAATATCCCTCTAAGGTACATTTAGAACAGATAAAAAATGTGCGATTAATTTGCGATTAATTGCGATTAACTATGGACAATCATGCGATTAATCCCGATTAAATATTTTAATCGACTGACAGCCCTAAAATAAAGTAAAGTGGCAATCAAAAAACCAGAAACTCCAGTTGAGGGAATTTGAAGGCATTTCCGAGTGGGTGCGAAAATCATCCATTTTGCTTAGTAAACTAAACCTTTAAATTATCCTTGAATAACTCTGAGTTGATGTACAGTAGGTATTTAAGAATGTAATCACACAGAGACGTACCTTAAGGAATGTGAAAACCTCTTGCTCGTCTTTTCCATTGACATCACCTTTCTCAAACAGCAGGAAGTTTGGAACAAATCCGTTGCCTGGTCTAACATGCCTGGAATTCAGGAAGAGGGCAGCTTATCAGTGGACAGAACTGTGAGCACTTTGGGCTTGGCAGCTGCCACTACATTCACTACAAGCTGAGGAAAAACACATCTATTGCAGTGGCTTTGCTATGGATACCTATAAGCTCGATGATGGAACCTGAGACATAAGATATATGTGTAACAGAGGCCACTAACAGAAACTGATCGTATTGCCAAAGGATGTGTTCCCTGATTAAATGAAGCTTTGGTGATTGAAGAGGATTTACCATTATTGCAAATTCCTCTCTGCATCCAGCTTTGTAGGTTCTTAAGTTACAGAACCGTACAATGTATAGGGTATTGTGAGGGCTTTGAGACTTAAATTCTCATGTTTTCATGTCTTAAAGCAATCAAATAAATCAAGTATTAAGGACTTTAAACTTTCCAAAAAGCTTTCATTTTGGAGGAAAAGGGAACGTTACTTTATTTATTTGGATTGGGTTCAATGTGTTGTTTTTTTACTGAGTTGTGGCTGTCCTAATACTGATTTGCATTAAAGAGAAACATTTCTCACATTAGACCTGGCAGAATTTCATGTTTTTGCCCTGGTTCCTGCTTCCCAAACTGGTTGCAGGGAAAGCCGAGAATGGTGAGTCCAAGAGGTTTCATCTCTTCGTGCAGTGCATTCAGTTCTGATGATAACAAAATAAATTAGAGAAGCTGATTTGTTCTAATACTGTTACATAAAAAAAATATGGCTTTTGTGGTGTTTCTTACCACCATACTGGTAGGTGTATCCTCAGTAGGTGGCCACGTTGATGAAGAGGACACTCTTGCCCCTGTAGTCACTGAAGTTCACAGTGCTGTCGTTTAGAGTGTTTGCATGGTATCTGTAAATGTCACCATCTGTTGGTTCACACAGCTGGGAGTACAAACGCAGATCACAGCAGATTAGAATTTGTTTTCACAGGCCAACAGCCAATACAATGCTTATGTTTTTCTTAGTGTAGTATGTGTTGCTTAAAAAGATGCTTGCTGGACATGTATGCAAAAAAGCCTTCGACATTACCATATCTGGCTAGACAGGATAAGTGTTTGCTTTAGATTGACATTTTCTACAACGGCCATCTTCTGCCACTGTTAGGCTTTGGCACGGAATTGACCTCTGTTACATACGTTTGATCATGTTGGTTTGTAGCCTAACATTTCACCCACTAGTATCAATGATTTGTTTTCATCCACATCACTTTCCCTGAAAATAACAACAACAACAAAAAACACTTTAATTACAATATGTGTATTGCAGCAGCTATGAGTCCCAAATATATTTGAATATCATGGTCATATCATTAAATCAATCATACATTTAACAAAATAGCCAGTTCGCCTTGTGCAGTTTAATCAGGGTGAACCTACCAGCTGTGAAGTGCATCATTAGAAAATAGAGTGATGTCATCTGTATATCTATCTGGAGTGATTAGATGCAGGTGTTGTGGCGGATATCAACAGGTGGCCTACCTGTGTGAGTGCCAGTGGGCATCCAGCGGTGAATGGTCGCAGCAGACCGAGCAGCAGCAGCGGGAAGAGGGGTCGCATCATGTCGTCCTCTCACGACACGTTGCTGAGTGTCTCTCCGCCGCTTCTCCCTGGGGATTAATAAAGTCCTCTGGCGGGGGGCGGAGGCGCGGAGGGCCGTACAGCTGCTGAACGACGCCCTCTGGTGGCTAGAAATGTACACAGTGAGATAGGCCCATGCATGTATAAACGCTGTCTGTAACGATGAAAAGGAGGACTTGAGGCGGCAAGTTGAGAGACTCCAGGGTCAGATCACTAATTTGACCAATCAGGTAAGCTGTGTGTGTGGCATGATAACAAATGCTTTTTTTCTTTCTTGCATTAAATTACAATCATAACTGAATTACTCCACTAATTGTGTTATTGTGTGCTTGGTTCAGCTTCACCAGGCACAGAACGAGTGTCAGAGAGAACGTACGGAGAGATGCAAGCTGGAGAGACTGCAGATGCAGCATCACAAACAGGTACTGGCTGCAGCTCAGATCTGACTCTAGAAGTGTTGCCGACATGTTGAAATGTGAATTACATTTTTGCCGTCAGCCTGGAAATAAATAGATGACATGTTTGGTCATATACTTTCAAATCAAAGGGTGAAGGTCAGCGCTGGCCTGTGCCATGACAGGGCTACAGTGTCCTCGCTGAGAGTAGCAGCCGTGCACTGATTGGGGATCACGTGTGTAGCCTGTGATCCCTCGTAGGGGCAGCAGCAGGAAAGATGTACCTCAGAGTGACCCCACGTCAGGCTCAGTGAATGGCTCGCTGAGCCCCCCCTACACTGTAAAACTTAAGTTGTGGTAACTTAAAAGTATGCAAACTCGTTGCCTCACTTTAAGTAAATTAAGTTAACTTAGTATGGTGAGTACGAACAACTTGTGTATTCTAAGTGGGCTTTTAATTAATTTTGAGAAGTACAACTGACACAAACCTTTTAAGTTATGTAAACTTAAAAGGCATGCTTTGCATTAACCTATTTTTTTTATTTTGTGTGAACTCAATGAACAAATTAGACTCTACTTAAATAAATAAATCACCAGAACTTAATCCTTTTAATTCTACTAACTCATCATTTCTAAGGTTTACTAATTAAATTGAACAAACTAATTCCTGCTAACTAAGATAATACTACAACAAATCTCTAAACACATTGTGTAAACTCCAACAATCTCCAAAAATAATGCATTCAAAACACTAATTGATTCAGTTGCAATGTAACATTTATTTTCAAGTGCCAACAAAAAGTCATTCAACCAACATTTTGATCTGATCCGAACAATAAACAAGGGTATATTGCCATTACTGATGATTGAATATGATGGTAAATATCCAATTGAAATGTACATTTGCTTTTTATGTACTCAAAACCCTTATCTTAATAAAAACAGGAGTGCACAACACACCAATTATAAAAAAAAAATCTATAATGACTGTATAAAACGGGCACTGTTATACTTCAAAAAGTGTAAAGAGAGAGAAAAGGAGATCAAAAAGACAGAGTTTAAGAGTTCAGATAAGCACCTTTAAAGAAGGGATGTCAACATTCCAAAAATGTAGTAGTGGTTACCAAACCAAGTGAAAAACAACATTTCTCAAAGATATTATGGTTAAAAGCAATAAATAAGCACTAATTACCATGTACCAGACATAAATTCCTTTTTCACCATTTGCATTTTTGTAAGAAGTTTAAACCAGTCTTAATTTCCTCTCTTATATCTTTTTAATGTTGCTATGGAAAGAACTTTGCAAATGTTTTGCCCAAAACATTTTTTACAAGACTATATTAGAAGACGTAATCATACCTAGGTATCTGAATCTCTCTTGACATTCCTGTTGGTAACTTTAAGAATTAAACTGCCAAGCCAGCGAACCTAATGCAGTTCTGACATAATACATTAAAGCTAGAGCTGCCTGTTTTGATTAATAGAAAAATATGTCCAACTATTTTGATAAATGAAAAAGTAATTTTTCCTCTAAATATGGCCTCTAAAATATTTAAAGATTTCCTGCCTCCTTTTTTTTTTCGATAAAACTAAACATCGAATTAAAGGCATCAGCTGGGATGTATATTTCACTTTTTTTCTGACATTGTATAGACCAAACTATTTATTGATTAATCTATAAAAAAAAGTGTTTGTTTCAGCTCTTTTTAGATGTTTCCACTATGAAGAAGAGTTCTTTAAAAAAAAAAAACATTGTACTTTGCTCTCAACAATTAACAGAGTTATAACAGTTTCCCCAGAGTAACAAACTTTTTTGTCATAACAAGTAACGGTGCAACTTTTTTAAGTGCCAAGTTCTATCTGATAGCTGTTGACTATCTTGACTAAGGTCTAATCCAGTAGAGCGTTTCTCAAAGTTAGTAGTTTAGGTGAGAGGGTTTTGGTTCCCAGTCCAAGCATCACTGTTTGAACAAACCTCAGAGTATTTGCTTTGCATTTTGGGTAATCAAAATGCAAAGCATATATCAGGCCAAATAACAGGCAAACTGCCTGTGGAAAGTTTTTGATCTTTTCCATGACAATACCTCCCTCAAGCACAATGGAGATGGAGATGGGCTCGAGTTGCATTGAGCTTGGACCCTCCTGAGGACTGTCTTAGCTGAGAACAGTCAGCACACCAACAGTGACGGATGATAGGGCCTCATTTCTCGTTGTATCCTGCAAAGAAAAACACGTTATTTAGACTATCATCGCTACCTATTAGAGTTGGTCTTCCTATGAAAACATTCATGTTGCATTTGCATTAAAGTATTTGCTAAAAAATGTTAGCTCAAGTACACACTCAAACTGCATTGTAACATTATATCCAAAAAGTTGCTGTAAATGTGGTATGAGGAAACTAATGCTATGGATGCATATACAGCTAGGAACGTACATTTATTTTACACCTCATTTCTAATCTAGACTCCTGGTCATGGAATTTAGTGTACAGTATTTTGAACACACCAAATTAAATCTTTTGGTTGCAAGTTTGTGTAAATAGGGGATATGACTTTTCAATAAATGCATACCAAACAGTTTTTTTGTGTCCAAGTACTTACAAAGCATGTCTTGAAGAAATCCTTGCCGTCGTCGCCAAGAACAATCGCAATGCCTTTGAGGACATTAGAGCGCTGTTCAGTCACGTCTGGTGTCTAATGATAGAGATAAAGAAGATAAAGATTAGGTTAAATTACAAACTCACAAGATGAAAAATGTTGGCCTGTTTTAATTATTTTAGAAGGCTTTTGAAGTAGTACCATATCGTCATCAATGTATGTGACAAAAAGTTGCAAAGTTATATTACTTACCACCCAGTTGATGCTCTGCATCAACTCTGTCAGTTTCTGTCCAACCGATCCTTTTTTTGACTTGAACAGTTGGATGAAACGTGGGGTGTGCTGGTCCAGAGCCTCAAAGAAGTCTGCCTCAAGGTTCCTACTGGTAACACGATTAAATTCGGCAAATACCTGAAAAAGTAGAGAAGGGGGTGGGGTAGGAGATGGAAAACCAGCACATTAGGAAGACATTAGTTTAAATCATAACAATTGTGCAAGCAGGCAACCACTAAGGCTTAGATAGAAAGGCAGGGTACACTTATAGCCCACTACAATTTAATATTGTATGCTGAGATTTCAGGCCTCTATAATTAATTAGTATTGTTTAGATGTATTGCTGCAATGTTTTGTTTACTGAGAACAATAATATTTGCCAAATGTTATGATAATGAATGTGGTAAGTAATATTTCATGAAAAGATTTTAGCTAACGTTAGCTAATGTTATCTTAACTAGCAAGCATATAAACCTTGAGATTAAATACAACAAGACAGCAAAAACGGTTGGAATGTTAATATGTACTCACCAAAGCAGTGTGCTAAGCACAAGATTCACTGTAATGCTGCGACAATGACAATGACCATAGCCCAGGGTTGCCAACTTTGGGTACCTGGCTGGAGTGAGATTTTGATATCATGGGTTTAATTACACATATGCGCACTAAATGACTGCTATCGTGTCAGCAGCGGGACCTTAGCATATATATAGGATATATATATACAATATATACAAATACACAATATTGGACACAGACTATAAAGGGCACAAAGTTTCATTCACTAATGAAAGTCAAACACATGTTTGTTTCCACTGTTTTATTGTGTGCCTGTCGCGATAAGCAATTAATTGACTTATCGTACGATAAATAAAAATGAACTCGATAAATTGCCATTTACATGAGGATGTGACTAGCAGTTTGAAAGGATGTACTTGAATTATTAATATATATTACCATTATGTCAGTGGTCTAAAATGGTCATACAACGGTGCCGACAATATTATCGTTTATCGCAATAATCTCCGGGAAAATGTATCCAACAAAATTAATTATCGTGAGAGGCCTATACATGAAACACACACACACAAACAAATCTACAGACTTACTCCAAACTGCCAAATATATGAATTAACGCACTCTCACTCTCATATACTCTTTGACTCTATTTTGGCCTAGTAGAACAATAAGCAGCAGACTTTTACTTTATCATTTCTACTAGATCTTAGATCTGCGCATGCGCAATATGGGTCGGGGATTGACCAACCGGCTCCCACTGCTCTGCTGTCTGTTAACGTTGTTAAGAGTGGTGGGGGCGGGGAGGGAGCGGATCGACAGCTTGAGCAGCTGTCAACTCAACATTGTAAATAACCAACCAAAAACGATCGCCGATTCATCTTGTTTTTGGCGTGAGAATAGTTTGGGCAGCGTGAGATTGAGAGTGAAAGCGTGTGTCACACGCCAGATGCGTGAGAGTTGGCAACCCTGCCATAGCCGTTGGGGAAACGTCCATCTGCTGCAGGGCTTGTTGTACGTGTTCCAGAAAGTTCCAGAAAGTAACTTTGAGCGCCAAGTGGTTAAGGAGTGATCTGCGCATGTCCTAATGTTGAAACAAAATAACCATGTCCACTAACTTAGTTTTTTTAATTAGCTCACATCAATTACATTGAGTTAGGTAGGTCTTTCGACCACGTATTACAGGTTAATTATTTAAACTGAGTGTTAATAACAAGTTAATACAAAATAAGTAAGGCTTACTTATTCATTCTTATTTAACACAATGTTAGGTTTTACAGTGACTGTGTGTGGTCCCTTTGTGCAGGTGGGACCGCAGGGCCTTGAAGGCTGGCCGGTACACTTCCCTCCCCGGATGCCCAATGCAGCAGGCGCCAACGCCGCAGCCACAGCCGCAGCACCACCCCCCGTACGAGACTTCCAGCCCGTTACCCCGGTAAGGGTCCTCCAAGGCCCCTCTGTCTCTGTCTATGGAGCGACTCTGGTTCACTGAGGAAACACGGCTCTTTTCTCTCTTTCCTCTACTCCCCTTATCTCTTGGGAGGAACTTGTCATTAGGTCTAACTATAGCTCAACCTAGCCACGCTTACATTTAATTAACATTGTTAGGTTAAGCTGTAGGGCTGCTGTTTTTGATAAATGGGGATTTTTAATGATTTCAACTAAATTGGTGCTTTCTCTTTGGTCAGGGTTTTCCTTGGCAATTGTCATTCCCACAGTCCAGAGGGGCCAGAGCAGTAGGAGAAAGTTCAAGACCACCACCAGAAAATGCAGGTATGGTACAGCCAGCCAAGCACACTATTGTTTTTTATTCCAAAGGTTTGTTGTAAATCACATTTGTGTTTTATATCTCAAAGCATATAGCTTGTGTTGCTCTGTATGTTTCCTTATCGTCAATATAAAGACTTTTTAAAAGACCAACAATGCATTTGTAGCAGTATGTATCTCAATTATTTGAGTTCCCTATCTGTGGCTACACGGGTCAATACATTCTGCTTTTGGTTTTACATGAGATTTGCTGCTCAATTTATAGGATTACATAACACCACAGCTACATTTGGACTTATCCATTAAAAGTGAAAAGTGTGTAAAGCTAAGTTTATGACTGAAGATAACCGAGTCTTGTCTTTCCGTGTCAGTAGATCAGTCCGCAGCAGCAGCAGCAGCAGCAGCAGCTTCAGCAGCCGCAGCAGCGTCGGCAGCAGCGACAGCAGCAGGATTTGGAAAAAGGGAGCGACAGAACATTGACCCTGGAAAGCACTAAAGCATCACCGTACCCACCAAACGGAGTCTGGGTAGTACTGTAGCATGAAATCAGTTTGTTTTTGAGTTGACAAGGTGTGATTTGATCTATAATTGTCCTACTGAACTGTAGATATCCTATTGTAATGTTGTTTATACTTGCGTTTTATAAGGCTATTTGTGAAACACTTCGCTATTCTGAATATATACATGAAATATTATTTAGACTTTTTTTTGTTTTTATCAGGAACTGAAGTCATTTGTTAAATAGGTTTGAATAATTAGCATTCTTTTTTTTCTCCAGAAAATATACCTATGTGCTTGTATCACTGCAAAGATGTAACAACTGGACACTTAGTTTGTTACTTGTAGGGTTACAGGAAGCCATTCCCCAATATGACTAAGACAACATATACTCATTCCAACAATGAATGATTATATACGTACATCAAATCATAGAGTTTACAATGTGAATGTTGATTGATTTATGAAGATTTCTTCAATACCATTGATGTTTTAGAACTGTCCCATACGTGTAACTGTTCAAAAGTGGTTGTTGAAATACAAACATTTTGGGAAATGAATTTTGATGGTATCATACCAAAAACATGATTGTGATTATTGATAATTTATTTATAACCTGCTGTTTTGATAGTTGCATTGACTAAGTGTAAATCATTGTCTTTAGTAATGCTGTTCTTTCTATGTTGTTAGTGTAATCCAAATATATTGTAGCTATTGACATTGTATGTTTGTATCAGACACAATACACAATGCACAGAACATACACAGCCTTTTTTTCCCATGATGATGGACCTAATCTCATTAAACACAACACTTCTACTTGATTACAATTGATTTGACCACTCATTGCAGTATTCATACTCATCTAACGGCATCTTGTACCACAGTTAAGACCCCAAATAAAAGTTAGAACAACAAATCCTTAAGGCAATGACTGCCTTCCTCTACTTATGGTTAATCCGTGTTCATTTATTGAGTTTAATCTCAACTAGTACTGACACATTCAATGTATGTGTAAGATAAAGAAAGGGGAAGATTCTCATCAGTATTTGGAAATCCTAGAGCTGTTATAACGGCAGTTCAGTTGCTCCAGACCTCTCCCAGGATGTCTGGCTGCTCTGTCTACTTCAACAACCAGCAATCCTTCCCATGCAGACAGTCCTGTTAACTGATGTGATACAAAGTAAAGTCCCCCTGATACAACAGATACACACACCCAGAGATAATATGCTTAACCATTATAAAAGGATCATCTCAAATCAAACCACTGTCTAACTGAATACCCATTCAATTTCCTTAGTATATGTCAGATGAAGGGCTCAAAACGTGCGCAGATGAACTAGAAAAAGGCTCCAATTTGATCAAACAATTTTAGTTACAGGGAACAAAATCCTGATGGGTGAGAGCTGAAATGAGAAATTGTACTTTGAAAGGTATGCTGTAATTACTGGCAGTTGTATTTTCTTGGTTTGTAGCCTTTTCTTTTTTTGCTGTAGGCAAAAGCACATGTGAGACTTTTTGTATTTGACTGGCTTAATAAATCTATTCTAAATGTCTTCTAGCATCTTACCCTACTTATTCATGTTGATACTTTCCCCGGTTTTTTATTGCATGTTAGAAATGTCGTTGCCACAAGTGTGCTACATGTTCACCTTTCTATAACACGACACCCACATAATATCAGCTTCTTGTTGAGAAAATACTTCACAAATCGGTGTGATTTCCATGATTTATTCAAAGTAATTAAAGTGTATGATGTAATGGCAACAGGTCCTGGGATGAGAAATTGACATAATGCGGTGGGGTAGCAGGGCAGCTCGAATGCACTGAAGAGCCGGCCAGAACCCCAGACTCCGAAGAGGCACCACAGATTTACTGTTTTCAAGCCTCCTCTTCATTAAACATGCCATTTTCATAGATCAGAATCTGTTGACATTACTATCTTTTACATTCAAGATAAGCTCTACTTATTCTGGTACTTCATAAGTTGGACAATACTGTATGAGGCGATCTAATAATACCGTAATTTAACCTCTGCTGTGTGTATAGTTGCAGGAGCAGATATTTGCGGATGTCAGCTCGGACCTGAGGAGTGGAGATACTTGGGTGCCACCTCATCACTGGCTTCCCTTCTGGGCCCACCAGAAACTTTTCAAAGTTCCACTTGATGTCGCTGAGCTTCATGGGCCCCCAGAACAACCTGCTGGGGTCGCCCAACAGCTCTCCTACAGGAGGGCATGATTTCTGCGTGGCACAAAGGACAAGATGTCACACAATGCAGAAATAACTATTCAGATCTCTGACTTAATACAATAATGCAGAGAACACTCTGTTACAAGTCCTGCATTAAAACTGTACATAAAGTACAAGAGTATTAGCATTCAAATATACTTAAAGCAGAGAGACCCATTTCAGAATCTTATACTTCATATTACTGGATTATAATTATGTCTGCATCAATGCATTCATCACCCTACTGTTGCAGCTAAAAATAGAGCTCTCTTTAATGCCTTTAGTTACTGCTGGTATAGTTTAATCCACAATGATATATTATTATTTGATTTGTATTCTGTATTTATAATTTAGACATTTGCAAAGTAAAGAGTAACTAAAGCTGTCCTATAAATAAAGTAAAGTGGCAATCAAAAAACCAGAAACTCCAGTTGAGGGAATTTGAAGGCATTTCCGAGTGGGTGCGCAAATCATCCATTTTGCTTAGTAAACTAAACCTTTAAATTATGCTTGAATAACTCTGAGTTGATGTACAGTAGGTATTTAAGAATGTAATCACACAGATGCGTACCTTAAGGAATGTGAAAACCTCTTGCTCGTCTTTTCCATTGACATCACCTTTCTCAAACAGCAGGAAGTTTGGAACAAATCCGTTGCCTGGTCTAACATGCCTGGAATTCAGGAAGAGGGCAGCTTATCAGTGGACAGAACTGAGCACTTTGGGCTTGGCAGCTGCCACTACATTCACTACAAGCTGAGGAAAAACACATCTATTGCAGTGGCTTTGCTATGGATACCTATAAGCTCGATGATGGAACCTGAGACATAAGATATATGTGTAACAGAGGCCACTAACAGAAACTGATCGTATTGCCAAAGGATGTGTTCCCTGATTAAATGAAGCTTTGGTGATTGAAGAGGATTTACCATTATTGCAAATTCCTCTCTGCATCCAGCTTTGTAGGTTCTTAAGTTACAGAACCGTACAATGTATAGGGTATTGTGAGGGCTTTGAGACTTAAATTATCATGTTTTCATGTCTTAAAGCAATAAAAGAAATCAAGTATTAAGGACTTTAAACTTTCCAAAAAGCTTTCATTTTGGAGGAAAAGGGAACGTTACTTTATTTATTTGGATTGGGTTCAATGTGTTTTTTTTTTTACTGAGTTGTGGCTGTCCTAATACTGATTTGCATTAAAGAGAAACATTTCTCACATTAGACCTGGCAGAATTTCATGTTTTTGCCCTGGTTCCTGCTTCCCAAACTGGTTGCAGGGAAAGCCGAGAATGGTGAGTCCAAGAGGTTTCATCTCTTCGTGCAGTGCATTCAGTTCTGATGATAACAAAATAAATTAGAGAAGCTGATTTGTTCTAATACTGTTACATAAAAAAATATGGCTTTTGTGGTGTTTCTTACCACCATACTGGTAGGTGTATCCTCAGTAGGTGGCCACGTTGATGAAGAGGACACTCTTGCCCCTGTAGTCACTGAAGTTCACAGTGCTGTCGTTTAGAGTGTTTGCATGGTATCTGTAAATGTCACCATCTGTTGGTTCACACTGCTGGGAGTACAAAGGTCACAGCAGATTAGCTTTGTTTTAACAGGCCAACAGCCAATACAATGCTTATGTTTTTCTTAGTGTAGTACGTGTTGCTTAAAAAAGATGCTTGCTGGACATGTATGCAAAAAAGCCTTCGACATTACCATATCTGGCTAGACAGGATAAGTGTTTGCTTTAGATTGACATTTTCTACAACGGCCATCTTCTGCCACTGTTAGGCTTTGGCACGGAATTGACCTCTGTTACATATGTTTGATCATGTTGGTTTGTAGCCTAACATTTCCCCCATCAATGATTTGTTTTCATCCACGTCACTTTCCATGAAATTAACAACAACAAAAAACACTTTAATTACAAATATGTTTATTGCAGCAGCCCTACAGTATGAGTCCCAAATATATTTGAATATCATGGTCATTGAAAAGTGCAGTTTAATCAGGGTGAACCTACCAGCTGTGAAGTGCATCATTAGAAAATAGAGTGATGTCATCTGTATATCTATCTGGAGTGATTAGATGCAGGTGTTGTGGCGGATATCAACCATGATATCAACAGGTGGCCTACCTGTGTGAGTGCCAGTGGGCATCCAGCGGTGAATGGTCGCAGCAGACCGAGCAGCAGCAGCGGGAAGAGGGGTCGCATCATGTCGTCCTCTCACGAGTCACGACACGTTGCTGAGTGTCTCTCCGCCGCTTCTCCCTGGGGAATTAATAAAGTCCTCTGGCGGTGGGCGGAGGCGCGGAGGGCCGTACAGCTGCTGAACGACGCCCTCTGGTGGCTAGAAATGTACACAGTGAGATAGGCCCATGCATGGATAAACGCTGTCTGTAATGTATAGTTGGAATGCTGATACCAGTGGCGTCGCCTGGCCTGGGCATCCGGGGCTTTAGCCCCGAATGTTTGTTCTGTAGCCCAGGACAATTCTCCCTCAATAATATAATACATTAACCGTGCTTTACGTGAACCTCATCATGACACAAGAGAGGACGGCAACACTGTAATTTCCCGTGTTCAGTGAATGCAACAGAGGCATGACACCAGACCAATCAGAGAGTTGCATGGAAATAAACGTGTGCTTGTGTCATTCAAGCTCGGCTCTGTGTGTGTGTGTGTGGCAATAGCGTGTGATAGAGAGAGAGAGAGAGGGGGAGGGAGGGACCGCTGCCAGCAGGGACCTGTTGTTAGCATCTGGTTAGCTTGCTGCACTAACGGACATAAGGAGCTGTTTGTTCCACAACAAGCTGGAGGAGAGTCCTCTCCTCTCAGACTGAGAGACTCAGGTGAGCTAAAGGACTCTCTGAGTGTTTAGATACTTACTTTAGATACTCTAAGTTATCTCAGTGGGTCTCAAACTGTTTGGTCACAAATTATTCAAAAGATTATTTCCGCGGCACACCTTCATATGATCATTATAGTTATAAAAAAAATAAGAGAATAAAGGAAAAACAGTTATGAAATACTATATGGCAGTAAAACAAGAATAGAGTTTAAAAGGGGAGTGATTAGTAAAATATCCATAAAGAAAAAGTACATCTGTTTACAGTTCTGTTTCATATGGGTGCTGAGAGAGGTATCCATAGATCTCTTCATTTTGCTCTCAAAGTGCACCAGATTGATGCTTTTAACTTCAATATTTAAAAAGAAATCTTCCCGGGGGAGCATCCCTCCGGACCCCCCTAGAGGAGGTGAGACCCCCACTCATAAAAAATACCACTTTACCCCTGCCTATATGCCGTGAGCTGATTATCGAGCCTTTATTGTAACAGTCGCGGGTGTACTGTGTGTGTGCGTGTGGGGAGTGTTGCAGTAAAAAATGCCACTAGTGCCGCCGCCACTGTGGGCTAAGCCCCGAATATTTTCAGGCCCAGGCGACGCCCCTGGCTGATACAGCATTCCAACTATATGTTATGCTACGCACGAAATTCTTTATTATTCCGCCGGGTTATTTTGCGCCTCTTCTTCTCCCACATTGAACATCGCAGAAACTCCGTTCGAACATCAAAACGTTCAGCTCGGTCGGGAATCGATGGCTATTACTTTTATCATTCATAACTTTCATAATTCCAGAGATACATCCCATAATTCATCACATTTTTAACATGGAAGTCAATGGAGAAACTCTTCAGACTTCAACAATCTTCATGCAACTTCAACTGCTAACTGCTCCTTCAACTGCTCCTTCATACTTTCACTCAGAAACCTCATTCCATTTTTTTAATTTTACACATCTTTCTGACATTATTCGTGTAACACAACTTTTTAAATCTGATTCTTACTTTTAGAGATATTAAACATTGTTCAGACCTTGGTAAAGAGGCCTTCTTCAGATTTTAACATTAACTAGAGTGCGTGATGTCACAGCTAGAGTGGAGCAAATCTTGAAATGTGCCTTCATATATATTTTTAAAACTGTCATAATTCCCAAACCCTACATTCCTGAGACATAATTTTTCATGACAAACGTAGGAAAACATCTCGTAGCTTGAAAAATGACAAATAATTAAGCAAAAAATAATTAAACAAAATGCCTCTTGAGGGCATGAAGTGACAAAAACGTTCAACATGTCTCCATTAAAACCCATTGTAATTTCAGGCTGATATTTCCTCACAGCAGCAGCCGCACACCTTTAGTTAAACTGCCAAAAAGGCCACATTATTAACCCGAAAGTACAAAAAAATTACACTTCAGATACTCAACTTCCTTGACATGCTTCACGTTTTGAAATTTCACAGATATCTGTTATCGTTCTTCCACAAAACGTTCACATGTAAGAGGTTTATCTCATTCAGAACAATGCAAACCTTTGATCTCTACAGAGCTCGTGAGCTCAACTATAAACACCTGTGTAATGGAACACGATGATGTCATCACTCCAACTGACATGCTCAGAGCAGCAGACTTCAGATAATGGTTAATGGTCGTGCCCTCAACAGCTCTACGTAAATTATGGGGTGTCATCATATGCCGTTCAAGAGAAGAGAGAGAGGGCGATCAAGAGTCAGTTCTAACTGTTCATTTCATTCTCTCTCTCTCTCTCTCTCTCTCTCTCTCTCTCTCTCTCTCTCTCTCTCTCTCTCTCTC